TTTACAGAAATACGCAAACCTGATACAAACTTATTTTCTTCATAACTTTTTAACAAACAATGAGCGACGGGAATGGGCAATGACCTTGACCTCCTTGAGGGTCAAGGTCAACATCAAGGTCAAACGGAAGTTGATTGGCGGGTGCTATGTTAAAGGAAATATTTACCTTAATTTAAAAAAATTTATAGCTATAGATGTAATTTAATAGCTGTAATACACATTAAGTGTGAGTAATTATTGATGGCGCAAACAGAAAATTGTCAGATGTCTGGACACTAATTGGGTCGTCTAAGGATGTAAGCGATAGCAGACGGTAATAACAAGATTTCTTCTGGGTGCAATGAAGAGTATCTGATGGCTTATCATGTTGCGTCTGTCAGACGTGATTAGTTTTCAGAGTGAAGGAACTTAGAGGACGAAACATCGGCGAAGTTAAGTTGCTGAGAATCAATATGCGAATGTAGAAATGTATAATTAGAATGTAAACTGAAACTCTCTGTGGTTAACCGAGGGATCGATGCTCTGGCGTTATTGATTAGCGAATGCCGTTACGAAACCGCCGAATGACTCGTAGTATGAAAATTTTGTGTATAGGCCTATAATAATTAAGAATCTTATCTAACAGCACGGAATAATTATTTGATGGAAGAGTTTTTACGCAATTTTAAAATGTCAGAGAAAACTTATTTTTATAAAGTTGCTAAAATATATTTCTTTAAAGAAAGCGATTAATTTACGCTTATTTCAAAATAATATTAATTACATCGGGAAAATAAGATCATATAATTCTCTGCAAAAGTTTTCGATAAACTTTCAAGGTAAGGGATTATGTGTTTGATAATGTTAATCCGAAGATTCGTCTTTATCCCTTTAACTTGTCGAAGACTACTTTATATAATCCTCAGAATTGTCCAATTTTTCAAAGTATTACGTTTGATCGGATATTACAAGGATTTAGGTAAATCTCATTTAATGCATCACAGTCTGGAATTCAATCAGTTTAATGCTAACGTAAAACTCGTCGAGCGTCAACTTTTTTCACACGCCATGCTGTTAATCTCATTGTAGCAGTATCGTATTTTATCTGTGAAAATTTTCTTCACGATCATTATTATTAAAATAAAATAAATAAATTCTTACATTTTTTTGCAAAATTATTATAAAAATGTTACGTATAATTGGACGTTCGAGTGAGATTTATGAAAATCTTCTTTAATCCACATCTTTGTATGTACCCATCGTTAATTTTACTACAAAATATACTTATTAACAGATCTTTTAATCTGTCTTAAGCCCACTTTAAACAATCTATAATTTAAGTTAGAATTATGACAAAATTTTATTTCCAATTATACATATATTGTGTAATAAAAAAAAACATCGTTTCAAGAGTTAAAACACACACGTGCCTTAAAATACATGCATAAAATAACTTAATGAAATAGAAACTTTGCAAATTATATTGTCATAAAATAAATTGTCTAACAAATGTAAAAAATTAATATATATAAAAATCTACTTTAGGAAAAAGTGATGATCGCATTCTTTATCAAGACATGAGTTTTTGACAACCTATATATAAGAAATAAGCAATACCTGTTATTCATCCAGTAATATATGATCGGATTTACCATAGAGTTGGACATAGCGAGCCAGTAAAAACTTAAATATACATGTTGCACATAACTGTTTTCTGCAATATGACGATGATGATACACAAAGATGAAAAATCCCTGATATGGTAACCAGCACACTGCAAATATTGTCACCACGATAATGAACATCTTTACCACCTGCAACAAATTAAGAAGGAAAATATTATAACAAAGTTTAAGACTATTAAATGCTCTTTCAACTGCTGGCACTTTGGCAAGTTCGAAATTTATTGAATACCGATTTTTCAAAACGATAGTTATCTTCTAAAAGAGTGTTTTACATATAGAGATACAGAGAAGATGTTATCAAGTTTTTATGCGATTTTTGCAGTTGCATAAAGACGATATTTGCAGAAAGCATTAGTAGCAATTAATTCGCACTTAATTCCAAAACTTATATTCAGCAACGTCTACTGCAGTATGCTCTGATAACCAACGGTAGTTAAGGACTTAATAGGAATCTATTGTTCTCAAGTTTACGCTTTAATGTTCATGTTGCGTTCGGAAATAGTTATTAATTTGATACTGCCAAAGAATAAGTCTAAGAAGTAAAATCGAATGTAAAACATATTAGTAAGTAGCTTAGTTATGTTATTGGAAAAAAAATACTTTTGAGATATTTAAACAGATACCCCCTAAAAACATCTGATTTGCATGCAAATGGGTAAGTAAAATTGCGAAATGTTTTATAATCCTAACGACCTACTTTATAGATGCATATTTTAAGATTTTTGGGTAAATAAAGTATAAAGATTTTCTTCGTTGTTTACTTGTGGCCAAATTTCTTGACATATTATCATCTTGAAAAAATTTAAAGAATGTAACAATATGTGAGAATATATTTATCTTTTAACTTTAATATATTGTAATTGTTTATCGATACGCATACGTATTTATATGATAATATAACGGGAATACTCAATAACGTACCTTGCGTTTGGATTTCATTGATTCTTTCTGGTAGTGCGTAAGTTCACCAATCGATTTTGAGCCCCATAATTTTCGTCCCATACACGTATAACAGACAGCCATCACTGACATGGGAACCAGATACGTTACAGTGAAGAATAAGACATTGTAGCTGTAGAATAAATGATTCATGTAAAACTATAAAGGTTGCCGAGATATATACTGAGACTTGCTACACCCAAGTTTTATTAAAACCGTAACTCGTTTCATAAGATACACGCGGCTGGACGATTACTCAAGAAAGAAGGTAGGCAATTTGTTTTTATTAATTGAGACGTGTGTCTGAGTTTAAAATGCATTATAGTAGGATACAATAATTGCAGTAGATGTACTAATTGTTATAAGTATTACATTTATTTCTAAGTGGTATTGTCCGCATTGTGTAGTATTTTAGGCGTCGATAATTTGAATTGACATTTACTTTCTTTAATCAACTCATGAAATAAAGCTTCAAGAAGAAGTTTTATTAAGAAAGTTTTACAATTAGTATATTGTATGTAACCGTGACGTTTGATGTAAGAAAATCGAATTCAATATTACATTAATTATTAGTTTTTATCCTTCTTTTACTTGAAGTATTACAATAATTCCGGTACAAGTAGTACAAGTTCGTATGTCCTTTCGAACACTTTCGATTCGAGTTTCAATTTCGACTCCCGAGAGTGAATGTGGCAATCACAATCGCTGGATAAGTTAAATTGCACATAAGAGGACCATTCTGTGAGATTACTTGGGATTTGTGATATAGATAGAAATCTATGCAAAACTTGATTTCCATTTTCGCATATACAGAATTGTACGTCACTCCCTAGTGAGTTTGAGTGTTTTAAATTATCCTATTGCATGCTATCAGATCCACTGATATTGTTACATCCGTTGTTAAATAAGCTTAACTTGGAGTTGCTTCGTAGATATGTAGGAATAGTATTCACTGTAAACTTCGGCGTCGCGCGATGTTCTTCGTAAGAGTAGAATATACCGCACTAACGACAGTAAGTTTCACGACTATACGACAAATGAAAACCTCGGGTATCTAAAGTTTTGCCTACGTGAAGTATACGAAATGTTAGCCTGAATGACTAAGATTTATAGGGACATTTAGCTAACCATTTTCTCATAAAACATTCCATTATGGACGTCGTGGTCACTCTCCTCGAACATTGAACAAGTTAGTAATTAGCATGCCTCGATGGTCGAATTGGTGAGACGCCCGCCTAGTGAGAGGGAGGTCCAGGTTCAAACCCTGGCTGAAGTGAAATTTTCGCAATAAATTTACAAATTAAAACCATTTAGACACTAACATCCTGTTTTGGCTCTTACATCCTTTATTCCTTCGAATTGTAATTTCACGTTGGAGCCTTATGAATGTTATTGTTTGGTAATTAAGTTTTTTAATTAATAATTTCACATACACTAAGCAAGAATACGCTACAAAGAATATATAATAATAATAATAAATACAAATATATTAGACTTGTTTGATTTTATTACATTTGAATGTTTTCGTTTCGTTTCAGGAAAATAAATTATATTTTCTATACAGCATTTTTGCATCATTTCAAACTTTTCTTTGCAAAGGAGGAAAATCTCGGATTTTGTCCTATTCTTTAAATTGGTCTCGTTTTGTTTGCTATCCGCGCGGAAAAAGGAAACTGAGGCGCATTTAATATTGACTTTTCGCGTCCAATACTAGTTTCGTGTGTTTCTAGCGTTTCTATTTATATCAAACAATATAACATATTCACTGTGAATCGGTTTTACTAACAATAAGTTTTAGAAGTAATTCAAAGTTATTTAATTTTTTCAGTATCAAATCGCTATTTATTTCAGAAGGGAAGATTTACATTTCGTAAATTTTATTACATACTGCATGGATAGAATTTTTTCATTGTACTTTCTCTCCTGCTATATCTTCATTGAAAACTGATCCCCTTTTAACAAACATTTGATTTGACTTCTCCCTTTAGCAAAGTTTTATTGTTACATTTATAAACATTAAAGGATTTAACGATAGAATATTCTATTAAAAACAATTGAAAAATCAATCTTAGCTTTTAGACGTTTTATGCATATATTGAGATATTCTATACATTATTTTCAGTCTGCGAATTAAACTTTATTTATATACTCAATGCATTTTTTATATAATAATTTTAAACTTTTTCTCGCATAAGAGTAAGTTGCAGTGAGCAACAAGACTGTAGAGTCAAACCACTAATAAATAAATCACTCTAATTAATAAATTGACGTAAAATATGGTAATGCAATGGATCGAATGCAACCACTCTAATTAGGTCGAACCACTCTTATCGTCTCCGGTGATATATTGATAGCAAATATAGAGCAATTTCCTGTCCTATCTCCTTAGGATAATCGTTGATTCAATCTCTTTCGCATTTGTAATGGATCGTGTACATGGCGTTTACAGAAACTTCTTTCCGCACGCGATTTCACGTGCGCGCCTTTCCTATCAAAAAACGCTGAACAGTCCCCGTTCGACATACAGATTTACATATTCCTGAAGTCCATTACACTGAGACCAGTTAAGTTTTGCATAGAAGGAGCTCGATAGAAAGCTTACTTACAAATACTCTGTTTGACTACGTAAATAGCCACCGTCAGGCCACAATAAGTAACAGGAGATTCTGGTTGTTCCATTGGAATATCTGCAATTGATTACACATCAATGTCTTCGAGAATATTGAAACAAATATAAACAACGGTAACAAACATTATCAGAAGACTATGCTATTAAATGTGTCTATCAATAATATAGAATATATATACATATTATGCTCTTCCTTTTCGAGTATTAATCATTAAGAATTAAGAGTTTTATTTTTCGTAGTCTCTTGTAGGGATGTAGGGAAAAACGACCCTTTAGTCAAGTCCGAGAAGAAATACATTAAGGGATATAATAAGAAAAACAATGTGATGAAAGAAAGAAGTTATTTGTATGGAACATTTGTCACGCGATAGAAAGCAAGGTAAAGATGTTGGCGAATACGAAGTTTATTTTTTTACACAAACCTGACAGAAGGAAATGTATTAATTTAATAAAGATATTAAATTTAATTTTTCTATGAAACGCGATTCCAGAACAGTGTTTGTGGACTGAAGTTAGGTGTGTATAATTAATGTAGGTAGCAAGCTGACGTTATTTATCGTCAGATTAACGTGAAAATGACATTCTCGATGACATTTTGACATCAAAATAGCGGCAGCTTGCTGGGGTATTGCGTACGTAATATTTAACGTTGTTTGCAGTACGATAAAAGTGTGATTTACTTTTAATTGCAAAGTTCGTTTGTTTTCGGCTTGTTAAAATTTATAAAAAGTTATTTACAATAGACGAAAAATGCAGTTGACTTTGAAAACATACAAATGGCTTTAAAAGTAGACGGCCAGCTTTAAAGGATAGGATCGACTTTCGGGACCAGTCAAGCAGATACATAATATGCGTAGAATGAGAAAATTTCTGAAAGTACGATGAGAAAATTTCAGTTAGGCATTTTTCTCGTTAAAGTTTACGTTTCGGGAGATAGAAACAAAATAGATATCGGAACTTTTCTTTTACCACAAGTAGCAATTTTTCTTGTTTTTTTAAATATTACGTCGCCCGAAGCAATCAGTATATATTACAAAAAAAATAAACAAAGAGAAAAATTCATAGGCGGGAAGAGAGTCAGCTTTTCTACCGGCTCAGAACGATAAGAAACTTAAAGCTTTACCTGGCCACGGGCAATCCGCTACTTTGAGCGGATTATCGAATAAGTATATAATCTGCAAATTTTGCAGCGTTTAATGTTAAAATAAAATGTCAAATACCTTTTACAAATTTATATTATCATTATTAAAACAATCCGTTTCGATTAACGTTATTCTAATTCCGACAGTGTCTGATTTATCAACTTGCTCACTTTAGGCGAAATATACAGTACGTTTATTTTATTACATTGATAACAATTCTTTATTCGAGAAATATGACAAAATATATAAATATACTTATAAGTTCGTACAATGCATAAACTGACGTGAAATAACCTGTGAAGATAAAACCGTGCAAATCTATAGGCGCTTTATGGCTATTGATGCAGATGACATTATATGCGGGCAGATACGTACAAGCTATGAAACTAAGGCACTATAATTGAGTCGTTACCTGATAAAGGGATTATAAGCCAAACCATGTTCCGACTATAACGTGTTTAACAAAAACTTTTACTGTTATAAGCAATAGGGAATATTTTAATGTGTATGTATTCTCATGAAATTTTTTTATTGATTTCTAAATAACAAAAATATGATATTATAGTTGTATACATATAAATAAAATGTCAGTAGCTTATGAGAGTGGGCGGAGAGGGGCGAGGGGGCGAGGAGGGGGGGGGGAGAGAGAGAGAGAGAGAGAGAGAGAGAAAGTTTCAAAATTATATGCTCTGACCTTTCTCTCTTTTCTCTCGTAGAACAGATATATGGAAAGATAAGCTTTTACGGGTGAATGAAACAAGGAATGTTTGATGTCAACATACTTTCATGTAATGAGTATACATGGGTATATAAAATAAAGTAATGTAATAATAATTTTATGGCTATGATTTACACGTACTGCCTTCTCTTTATCTTTTTTTAAAGTACATCAGGGAAGTATATCAAAGAAATTCATATTGCTATATTTATAATAATTTCTTGACATTTTTAGTTACATTAAAAATTATCAATACAATTTACATTATGTATCTATAAACAATATAGCGTATTGCTTTTATATAAATTTGAAAAATATGGAATGTACAAGAAGTAAAAGCAATATTGTATTTTTTATTTTTCTTCTCTATATAATATAAATATATATAAATAAAATGAAAAATACACACACAATATTACTTTTAACTTATACAAACGTTCTGTATTTTCTTTAAATTACGCTGTGTGATTTGATGTGCTTTAAGGCATGCAACGTATTCTTGTAAACGTGACTAGCGTGTCACACACACGTTTGCAACGTAACGTTATTTGCTATTGTGAAACCTGTCTGAAACACGAATTCTTCAAAGAATGATCTGTAACATACTGCTTTGTAAAAAATTATGTAATGTATACTACATGAGGACACTGACGTCGTCAGTGGTACAAACGTCAGTTGTTATTGTAATATAAAATTTACTATAGTCCCTGTTGCATTTTTACTGTTTTGTTATACTAATTTCACAACTATGTGCAGACATAAATTCATAAATTTTAAAATAATATAAGAGACAATTGTACATACGTTCGACATTAATAAAAGTTTGCTAAATGATTGATTTAATCATTATAATTACCTGCGTAATGATGTTGTAGAATATAAGAGACACGGGGTTGCTAGTGCAGATGAAATGCCCCAGATTAAAATTAAAATAATTACTGTCCTCTTGCGAGACATGTGGTGTTTAAGAGGATACATAATGGCCATGTACCTGCAACAAACGACATAATGGTGCTGTTTAATATTCCTCGACAGATTCAAACAAATTACTGAGATTTATGGCGTTTAATCCTGTATTGTCATCATCTCCATCGATAAGATTTCCTGGCTTTTTGAAAAGTTGCGTAATAACTTAAGACATTAGCATTTATCATTGTCAAACATTACAAGGAGAAATTTGAGAAACAGTATTTTATAAAAGAACTTTTGCAATTATATTGAACGATATGTAAACGCAGGTAATACTTTTATTTATTACTTTTACTATTTGATATTGCATTTTATATTTTATTTTTACTATTTTTACAAATACATTTTGACCATTTTATGCAATATTCTTCTTATAAATATTCTTTTTGGAAGCGATAGTTACTCCAAAATTATGAAACAGCTTAATTTCTGTCTACATATTTTTATTCAAATTATTGTGCATTTATTATGCATACATGCAATTTATGCGAAAGAATGTATGTTTTAAATAATAGCTGATTCGCATGTAAGCCAGAAATTCGAAATGTAACCATGCGAAGCAAAGCAATTTTACTTACTGTTAGAAAATGTAGTTGCGTGTAATAAAAGTGTAAATTGCACCGTTGCAAATTATACTGATATTTTAGATCGATACCTCGTATGCTACACGTGACACAGTATTCCATAAGATGTAACTACTCGAGATTATTGAAGTACAAGAGACTAGGGCTAGTTGTTATACTATTTTTGAAAATTTTTTATGAATAGAATAGATATTACAAAGAGATTTATCAAAAGCTGGAAATTTAAACTGTACTACATTGTTTATACTACAAATATTTTTTTAAATCAAGTTATGATTTATATATCTGGTATTAATACAAATTTTTAAAAAGGCGACGTTTGCGATAATCTATACCACATATCTGATAGTAGTAACAAATTCTTTTAAATTATATTAGGTGAAGATAATAAAAAACTATTCAAAGAAATACTTTCTCTAATAACTTAAATAATGAAAATACGTACATTATGTACACACATATAAACGTATAGTAAATGTGAGCAACTCTTTAATTTTTTGTTGTTTAGACCAAATAAAAGTAGTAGAAAATATTAATTTACTACAACAAGTCTGAAGAAACACAATCTCTATTTTCTATAAAACTGTTAAAATGTAATAAACACAAATATATATATATATATGTATATATATATACCTTTAATACTAAATAATAAAAAATACACCTTTATAACTAAAAAGTTGCAATTACTTACTCCGTCAACGTCCCTCTGCCATATTTTGTAATTAAGATTATAATTTAAAAAATTCTGTTTCTAGATTAACATAAATGAAAATTGTACGTTATAAAATAAAAATTTTAACGAAATATTACAAAACATTTTACAAACACGAATAACAAGTAGATTTTTAAATATTGTAGATAATACATTTTATTTATTCCAATTTTTTGGCTGTGAAAAATAATGAATATTATTTATCTTGGAAAACATACTAGGTATTTCTCTCTCAAAACCGATCATTGAATTACTGATGTAATATTCTCGAACAATATCATATTCCTCATGCACTGATAGTCCCATACAGCGCTATCATTTTTTATTTTGGGAATACATTAAATGTAATAACCAACCACATATGTAACGGCCCTGACCCCCGATAATATTATGTACGTACATGAAGTATTATAACATATACTTTTCATAATCAGTAATACAAATCTATCCACTAGGTTTGATTGCCGGGTAGAAGTTGCTCAAGTTTGCATTTTATTCCGACGTTTCGTGAAAACATTTCAGTTCTCTTCAACAGGCGGGAGCAACCTGATATACAGCATTATTTGGCTCCAATCCGGAAGCCAAACCTAGTATTCATGTATGTACATACACCGCGAAAGCCTCAAATATCAAATTTATATCTCTTATTGTAATAAATGCAGCAATACGAATTAAATACATTATATTTAGCAATATAAATAGTTGTTAATAAATGGATAAGTAGTTTCATACATTTACATACACACGCACGCACACACACACACACACACACATAGACATTAACACATTGACATAGTCAAATAAAAATTTATTTATGTGCACACATAATCGTTTGATATTTGAAAGATAAAATTGATAATCAAATATAATTACGACATTGTTTTAACACGATGTTAAAGCTAATTAGAGTTGTCACGCAAGTAGAATGTCGCAATACACGGTCCATAAATTATCATGTGTTTCTCGCAAACATTTACCAGATTACAAACAAGTCCCTTGCTTCGACATTAGCATTATTGCTCTTACAACTCTCACATGCACGCAGTAATAACAGTTTACTGAGTTTACCAACCAAACAGGATGCAATAATTGATTAACCTTTAGTGGCAGGCCTATAGATTAGGCAACATTATTCCATGATTGGATTTTAATTATTTAAGTGGTGTTTAAATACACGATTAATGAAAAATGTAGAGTCTGCAAAAGAGAAATTATTTCTTCTCATTTCTATAAAAAAAAGATATGGAATTAACCAAAGAAAGCGAAAAATTGAGTTCATACTTTTTTTTAATGAAAATCTCTCGATGCTACGCAAAAAATTGCGTGTACAAAGTTTCATTAATTAATCAAACGCGAAAAAAATTACATACAAGATAACATCTGTGCAATAAATTGTTCGTGACGGAAGTTCATGAATTTAATTACACGTTCCATGGCAGTTTCAGTCAGTCATCGTCAATTTTAGTGAGACAATGAATAACCTACGTTTGAAATACGGATCCTGTTCATTTGCCACGCAATAAACTGTTCAGCGAGTTTCCACGAGGAAACTAAACTTGACAATTACTTTTGTACTTTATGTTCTTCCGAGATCAGGGAAAGCTAGAAATGTACAAATCTACAATAGAATTTCTCGCGTAAGTTTCCGTACCGACCTAGATATAATCAAAGAAACGGGATAGACCAACTCTACGCTTCTCGGTTAAGTTCACGAAGATATTTCAAATTGGATCTAAATTTCTGATAAGAAATGCTATCGAATGCATATTTGCAGGGAATCGGAGAAAGGCTTCAATTTATATCTTCAAAGATATTAATATTAAGGTATTGATCCCTGAATAACTTTTAAAGTATGCAAGATACAGAAAAACATTAAGCTACAAATTTTTACGGTTTTAAGTGACGAATTAAATAGTAGTATCAGTGTAACCTTGAATTGCTTCGTCAAGGTCACAAAAAGATCACCTTAAAATGTTTTAATGAAAAACCCAAGTTTTAATAAATATTCCTATTAGTCTACCTTCTAAGATTTTTGCAAAATGGAAATTGTTTACTCAGAATTGTAATTCGGACACTAAGCTTCCTTTATGAGGAAGCCAAATTGTTTGAAACAAAATGGTTTGTATGTATCGAATAGCTCATACCACGTGCCTGTCAATCGTCATCTACGTGTGCCAATAATCTAAAATTGTTTGTCCTTTGAAAATTTCCATTAGACGAACGATGAAAACTTTAATAGAGAATTAAATAAATCAATTTCTCATACGCAATTTACCATTATTACTTGACTCGTAATGCTAATAATAAGACCAGTCAACAATGAAATCGACTAAAATATAAAACTAGGAACAAATTAATTTTTTTTAAACAATAAAATTCATAAGACTGACGAGAAATCACAATTCGAAGGAGTAAAGAATATAAGAGCCAAGACAGGATGTTAGTGTCTAAATAATTTTAATTTTTTTATTTATTGCGAAAAATTTACTTCAGCCAGGGTTTGAACCTGGATATAATTAGTACGTGTAATTTGTAAATAATATTTATATGAAAAATTGTGAGTCTACCGCGATCTCTTATAAAAAATATCGATAAGGCTTTTCAAAATATTTATTTAATCATATAATATTGCTCTGTCAAGCTTCAATACTTATTAAAATTTTAACAGCAGAGTTAAATACTGCTTTACATTAGGCTCGTATAAAAACGAGAATTTAAAGAAGAGTTTAATTAATTAAAGAATTTAATTAATTAATCATTTTTATCTTTTATTCAATTTAATTTGGAATCTACCCAATACATATCTGGTAGTCGCGTTAGCTAAGTTTAGTTGAAAATTCCGAGTGAGGTTCAAAAACGCATTCCTCTACTATGATTTCCATCTTTTCTTGACTACGTAGAAATGCAGATAAATGCAGCCGTCACGTAGTATTGTACGCCGGAACAATAAACGGCATAGACAAAATGATTGCATTGTTTTCTACGTGGTTTGTGCACGTATAGGCGAACTACCATTGCGAGGTATGTCGATAAAGCCGTCGAAATTATAACGACATTTCGCGTCGCGAAAATTCGCAGCGTTCCACACGTGCGGTAAGAATTACAATCTTGAAACCTGTTTGCAAACGGTTGTACTAGCGAGCTGTCTCCGAAAACATGTTAAGTCATTTATCGCGGTAGGTTGAAACGCTAATACGCGCGAGCACGTGTAGACGTGAAATTTGAATATTTTATAGGCGAAACATAAATCTTCACCCCCAAAGATAACTCGATACGTTCGCTTACTAATATTTTGAATGTCATTTAAAGTCAGAGAGCTAAAATTAGCTATTAATTAACTACGTAATTAAATTTAACAGATTTCGTTTGTATACTTATCAACAGTAAAGTTCGGTTCATGTAAGTCATCCTACATATGCGTATGTTTCCAACTGAAAAATGTTTTAACATAACAAAGTGACACGTGAGAAGGTTAATTTATATTATTTTTATGTGCCTCGTGTCGTATAATTGAGTTACTAGTACATTGCATTAGGAAGAGGGACGTCGCCGTCACAAGAGAATGATCTTTGAGTAGCAAGGAAAAGGAAAGCCAAATAGCATTAACTAGAAGGGAAATCAATATATTTCCGATCAAAGCAACAATAAAGAATGGAAGACAAATTTCCTATGGATAGTCCATTATCACTTTAGACGTGCAATAATTAAATTCTATACGATTTC